GGTTGTTTATGTTTTTTATTAGACAGGTTGCAAATTGCTGAGTGTTTCGAGAAGGTTGCCTCAAGTTAAAACGCAAAGGATCAACAAAGGTTGCTGATGGTTCATTTGCTTCGGTTGACACCTGTTCTTAATCTTTTTACACCTCAAGTATACTATAAACATGGAATTGCATCTTGGACATGTGCAGCTAGTGCTGAATGCACTTACTGGTGGATGCTAAGATTTGTAGGACCAGTAAAAAAGTCTGAATCTGTTTGGACAAATATGCACATTGTGAAACTGACTTGACATTTAGCCCTACTTTTCAAACATGAGGCTTCAGCTGATGTGTAACGTGAACAGTGTTTAGACTGGCCAGGTTAGTGCTCTGCATTACAAACACTTGTGCTGTTTTTCTGTCTTTCACAATGAGCCAAGACTGATGCAGGCCGGGTGGGCAAAGTTTAAAAGTATTCTTGTGTGTGGAAATCCTCTGTGCTTCTGTTGTCTGTAACCATGCTATGAACCTATTAACTGTTGCTTCGCTTTATGCTTGCCAGTGTGCCTCTCATTTCTATCTTCACGCCTCGTAGTATGACATGCTTTCATCTGCACTTGTGCAAAGTTCTCATCTAGACTTTGATCTCTTCTCTCACAGAATCTGGCCACTCTTCTTTCACTTGTCTTCTCGTCTATCAGCTGTCTAGATTCCTTCATGTGAGCTCTGCTGCCCAACGTGTCACGAGTTCAGAGGAGTGTGATGAACTCATTACCGCCGGTGTCTCTTGGAAGACTGTTCAGAAACTTTGCAACGGCATTAAAAATGCTCAGTGATTGTCTTCAGTTCACTGCAAGGACACTATCTGTATTATTACATGTGTGTTTGTAACAGCTGATGGCTCTCAGGCAGGGGAACTGCCTTCTAGAGTGTATTCATATCCATTAACTTTTGAATTATCCCTGCATTTTTCCATGTCAACTTTCAAGTCCTTACACTTCTCTCTTTGTTGTGACTTTTTATGAGTTTCTTGAGGCTATGCTTAAGACAGAAGACAATAAACTTTTCTATATAAACAGTAAGCCGCCTTGAGTCCCCTTCGGGGTCGAGAAGGGCAGGATATAAATATAGTAAATAAATTTAAAAATAAGAGTGTGATATTTGGGTGGATATAACTCTTGATCCTGTGAAATCCTGGGTTAAAGGAACAGATGGGATTGATCTTCCAGTGTATACCAAATATTGCTGCTTCCTACTGTCTCTAAGATAGGGATTGGCAGAGTGCAGCCCTCTGCATTTGATGTAATGCAATTCTTAGCAGTCCTGGCCAAACTACCCTGTCATGAGGGATGCTGGGCATTGCAGTCCAGCAACAATTGGAGGGATGTGCTTCCTTGTGCCCATCCCTGCTCTACAGTAAAGTTCAGTATGTAGAGAGGAGTCTGTTTGTGCGCTAATAATAATAATACTTTATTTATACCCTGCTACTATCTCCCAAGGGACTCAGTGCGGCTTACATGAGGCTGAGCCCACAACACATCAATCACAAAGCAATAACAACAAATAATACAAAGCAATAAAATACTCATAACAAAAAAGCAATAAACTTTAACAATAACACAGTGACAGTTAAAACCTATGGCTGGGCCAGATGCAATATTTAAAATTTAAAGATAATGCTGAGCATGAAGAGATGAATATGAACTAGGATAGAGTTTTCAGAGAGGGATGGGGCAGGCAGACATTCCTAGATCCATAGTAAAGTGCATTTAGGGGACATAATGCTGGGAGTTTCCTTATTCTGGGAAGGCACACTGGAACAACCACGTTTTCAGGCTCCTAAAGACTGCCAGAGTTGGGGCATGCCTGATGTCCTTGGGGAATGAGTTCCATAGTCGAGGGGCCACCACCAAGAAAGCCCTCTCCCTCGTCCCCACCACCAAGAAAGCCCTCTCCCTCGTCCCCACCAATCGTGCCTGCRATGGAGGTGGGAGTGTGAGCAGGGCCTCTCCAGATGATCTAAGGGGCTGCGTGGGTTCGTACACAGAAATGCGGTCACACAGGTAGGAGGGACCCAAACCGTTCAGGGCTTTGTAGGTAAGAACCTGCACCTTGAATTGGGACCAGAAAATGAACGGCAGCCAATGGAGCTCCTAAAACAGGAGGGTTGACTGCTCCCTGTAAGGAGCGCCAGTTAACAACCTGGCCACCGCCCGTTGAACCAATTGAAATTTCCGGGCAGTTTTCAAGGGCAGCCCCACGTAGAATTCATTACGGTAATCCAATCAAATTAATTTTCATTGCACAAAGAACCTAAGCATATTTGCATATTACTGTAGAATTGGAAGCCACTTGAACTTCCTGCATTGATCCAAGCACATAAAAATGCAAATAAATGCAGTCATACGCTTAAAAGTTCCATGTTATCAGATTAATACATCAATATCTCCACTAAACAACTTCAGGGGCTGAGAGATTTGTCAACAATGCCGCATTGCCTTTTCCATGGCAATAAAACACTGTCCTTGGCTTTGTGCATGCTTAATTTTGAACTCTGGCTTTTTTGGAATATTCTGAAACTATGGAATTTCAACATCCCATAAAGATAAGCATTAGAACCCTATGATCTCCTTGTGTCAGGGCATGTCGAATAGTGCTGGGCTGCGAGGCCCAGCTGACAAGATAGGCATTCTGCTCTGTGACTAGATGTCTATATTTAGAGCATTAAGGTCAATGAGTTCTTTTTGGGCATGAGTCCTTTTGGTCTCTTGTTACCTGTGGAAAGAGAGGGTTATCTGAGCAGAGATCCCACTTTGGCAGAGGCAGAAGAAATTCTAGAAGACAGGCGTAAGAACAGCATGATGATCTCCTATATTAATTGGCCACCTCTTCGCCTATCATTACCTTAGGTGAGATAAAGATGCAAATTCAAGTAATTTTACCAAGTTGTAAAAGATCTGCGGTGGACATACCATGGCAATGTGGGGAGAAATATTCTTAGGACTTCAGACCCAACCCTAGGTAAAGGTTTCCCCTTGACATTAAGTCCAGTCGTGCCTGACTCTAGGACTCCGGTGCTCATCTCCATTTCTAAGCCAAAGAGCCGGCGTTGTCCATAGACACCTCCAAAGTCATGCGGCTACTGGCATGACTGCATGGCATGCCATTACCTTCCTACCGGAGTGGTACCTGTTTATCTACTCACACTGGCATGTTTTCGAACTGCTAGGTTGGCAGGAGCTGGGGTTAACAGCAGGAGCACAACCCGCTCCCCGGATTCGAACCTGCAACCTTTTGGTCAGCAAGTTCAGCAGCTCAGCGGTTTAACCCACTGCTCCACCAGGGGCTCCGACCCTGCCACTTCGTATTTTAAGGTTACCCCAACTCTGCATTGCCTTCTTGCAAACTTGAGCCGGGAGGCAGTAATGCAGAACCAGGCGATAGCTTATCTGCAGCTGGCAAGAGGCTCCTCTCCTTGGCCACGTCTCTCAGAAGAGCACTGAAACCCGATGAGTCACTGCAGAGTCTCCCCTTCAAAGGCAGGCAGGCAATGCTGACGTTCCTCCACTGAGTCACCTGATAGGAGAGGAAACCCTTTCCTTGCCCTGGTGCTCGCTCCTTTAGTCAAGGAGTATTATTATGTGCCGTTTTTCTGACTAGGCCCATTCAGATCGTTGCAGAACATATACATGCATAAGTCTAGAAATTTTGGTCAAACCTGGACCAACTTATCCATGGGTCTATGCAGAAAGGCACCTTTACGCTTTGTCAACAAAGGAACCACCCTCTTCTCTGAGTCGAATGGCAGAAGACAAGAGCCTCGTCCAGGCCTGCACAACCTGTGGGTGTTTTGGATCTTGTCTGCACAGATGTGAACAATGTCCCTTCCACATGGAACGTTCTTTGCCTTGGCTTTTCACTTGTTCCATTGCATCATGTGTGGAAGTGCAAGAAGGGGTGAGTGTTCCTGTTTACTTTATTCTGAACTGCCCTCCTTGCCTCTTTTTACTTCCGCTCCAAAAATGGAGCTTTTCCCTAAGGTGATGGAATGCACTCTGTAATAAGCCTCACATGATACCCAGGAAGAGAAAATTCTTGGGATATTTGTGGCCTGAACAACTCACTATTTCTTGTTCGCATCCGGAGCCTTCTGTCTTGCGTTGACTCAGACAGTTGTTTATAGAGCGTCTGAACAAATTCCTCCTCGACTTGCTTAACCTTTGCTGGAAAAGATGGTGGTTTGGGGGTCTTATAGGTACTCTCCTTCCTGAGCTCTATTTCCCCTCCCGACCCTGCTCTGATTCCAGAAATAAGCCTCAAGAGAAATAAATGACAGCTTTTCAAAATTAACCTCCCTTCATCCCCTTATACACTCTTTCTCATTGAGCAAAGACCTGGCTTGAAGACATCGACTTGCCAAACCAGTTTGGCCTTGAGTCATCCCCCTCAACGAATGTGATGTAGCTTCCTATCCTCACCTTTGAATTTCCTAAACCACATTAAGACCGAGGTTGGTGATAAATACTGGGTGGTAAAAGTCACGGGAGGTGCATTAAATTCCTGACAGACTTGCTAGAATAAGCACGGGCAAACTTGGGCCCTCCAGGTGTTTTGGACTTCAACTCCCACCATTCCTAACAGCCGGTAGGCTGTTAGGAATGGTGGGAGTTGAAGTCCAAAACACCTGGAGGGCCCAAGTTTGCCTGTGCTAGAATATCCATGGGAGTGATTAGCTTTGCACAATTCCTACTATCTATGTATTAAGGTATTAAGATGTAGATTTGGCTCAGGGCTCAGATAGGCCGAACATCGTCGTTGGACGGTGTTTCCAATGCTCTTCTCGCCCTCAAGGGATTGATAACCCAGCCATGCAACCTCTTTGCAGAGGTTGCAGCCAGCCCTGGTCTGCAGACCTGTCTGGCTGCATGCAAGAAGTTGTCCAGTCACAGGCTTCCCTGATTGGCCCACAATGACTGGGTTTGAATAATGAACCTGCTAGTGTTGAGCGTGGGGATTGGCTGGGCCCTGCTGCAGTGAGAGCGCAGCCGGGATGCTCCAGCGGCACCTCCGTGCCTTTGATGCGCTTCCTTTGGATGCGCTCGCTCGCAAGCCCAGGTCCATCGCGACAGCCGCCTGGCGTGCCTTTCTTCCTCTCCACGACTTTGCCTCTTCCTTGTCAGGCTCCCTCCATACCCAGCATCTTTGCCTTTCACCGAAGTCCTTGTGTGCTTGCCATTGCTTCTTTTGAGTGAACCGCTTGTCAGGCCAGACACGACAGCGCTGGGAGCAATTTCAGAGGCAGGCATCGGCTGCGACAACATGAGCCGATGGCGCAGGGCTGGGCTTTGAGGCTCTTGCTGTCGCACTGATCCTCTGAACCAGGGCACTTAGTCGTGCAGCCTCGTCTTGCCTTTCCGCCAACCCCGAGGCTTTTTCCAGGCTTCTCACTGGAGGGATAAGTGATGCTGCACTCTGCCTGGGATCTCCTTTCTTGGCTTTTCCCAAAGGCTGCGTGCCAAGGCCCCGCCGAAGCAAAAGAGAATGAGGCGAAGGACGCCCCAGGGCCCGGCTCTGAGGACCAGGGGCCACGTTTACCAGGGAAGCCACTCAGCAAAGGGGTCAGTCCCTCCGAAAAGAGGCCAACTCTTCTCCTGGTAGTGGGACCAGCAGACCAGTTCACCCAGGTAATCTCCCCCTCCTCCCCTCCGCTTCCCTTGAGAGCGACTCGTTCCAGTCTGCATAGAGCGAGGGGCGTGTGTGATGTTCCTTTCAACTGTCGAGACGGTCTGATGTTGGCTTTTGCTTTGAGAGAACGATTTAGTGCAATGCAATTCAAAGTGTTTGGTCCCTGGACCATTGCGAGCTGGTTCATGGTGGGTTTCCAGAAATGGAAAAAAAGAAAGAACCATTTTAGCCAGTGAGTACCAAGATATTGGATTGTTTTTATTGTTGGCCACTTTGGGTCTCTTTTGGCAGAGATAAAGTGGGATACAACAACAACAGCAATAATAATAATAATAATAATAATAATAATAATAATTTAGTTTCTTGCAGGTGGAGGATCAAAGCCTGGTCCCCCAGATCAGATAATCTGGGAGGCACTATCCATTAAGATAGAAGTGGCCAAGTGAATGCAGGACATGAAGTAGGGAGCAGTTAGTTTGCTGTCTCACAGGTGAAGACTGGTCTTAAAGTAGTGGTTCCATTAGATCTGCAATAGCGGCTTACATATTGGCATCACATAATGAAAGAGGCTTCTTTGCATCTCTGGTGATGAGATTTAGGAGGCCAAATACATCAGGGCAGGAGGACGTCCTTCAGGCTCCTACTGCGCAAGATTTGGAGCCTGAAACTTCCGCCTGGAACAGGGATCCTTAGTACTATAGATGGAGAACCAGCCGCCAATGACGCTGCAAGGGGAGACACGCACTTCAGGGTGACACGTTTAACTTGAATACAGTCGAAGGCTATTACAGTCTTTGGTTGCAGATACCAATAACATGGGGTCGTATTCGTGTAATTACTTGAATACAGATGGATGTCCTTCCAAAGTTGGCTACTTCGTACCATGGAAGGTTATTTGGATTTTTTAATAGGTGTGTGTTTACTTGGTATCACAAGACCTTACTTGGTCTTGTGATATTAGAAGCGTTTCTCTGCAGGTCTGGGTTTGATCAACGAAAGTGAATGACCTGGAGGGTGTGTAAACTGTACAGCAGGCAGGGCCCATTCTAATGACCCAGGTAGATGGCTGCCAATAGATTTCATCTTTGTTGAATGTAATTATCACAAAATTCGGGATGGTTAGGTGTTGATGGATAGCATCTCCTGGCCTGTGCTGAGTCATGATAAATATTAACTTTAGCGATTATTTAAAAGGTTTTCAGTTATACATTTGAGAGTCAGGATCACATGTACCCTGCAGGAGTTACGTCGACTGAGTTATCACTTCTCAAATAGTAAACTCAGGTGTTGAGTGTTTTGTGAGTCTGTTCCTGAAACATGACCATTCAAAATTGAATTCATGCATTCTGGATTCATTTGTAATAATTCTTAAAATCCTAGAAGTGTAGTGACGATTTTCTAGCATGTAGTGGAGGAATATTGGGACAAGGAAGAGGGTATTAAACTTCCTCTTGTGTGTTGTGTACAGATGATTCAGTAGAAAGGAAAAGAGACATACTTTTGTCTGCTTTCCCCACTTTCCATGCCTTCTGTTTTTCAAACAAGTCATCTGTAGAGATGAAGTATCTCAGTGGAGAGAACTTGAACCTTATTTTATGTGTGGTGGATCAAGGCCCTCCCAACAGATGGCCATCCAGCTTCTGGGTAGTTGTAGGTTTTTTGGGCTATATGGCCATGTTCTAGAAGCATTCTCTCCTGACGTTTCACCTGCATCTATGGCAGGCATCCTGAAAGGTTGTGAGGTCACTACCTCTGAGGATTCCTGCCATAGATGCAGGTGAAACGTCAGGAGAGAATGCTTCTAGAACTTGGCCATATAGCCCAAAAAACCTACAAGAACCCAGTGATTCCAACCATGAAAGCCTTCAGCAATACATCCAGCTTCTGCTTAGACACCATATTTTAGGCGGAAGCTGGGTGGCCGTCTGTCTGGAGGACTTTGCTTCCTGTATGCATGGCAGAAGCGGGTTGGACTTAGATGACCCTTGGGTCCTCTTCCAGCTCTGTGATTCCATCTTCAAACACCTTTACAAGGGTGATGTGACTAATGCTTTAGTGGCAGATCTGCTGAACAGAGCCAACTCTCAAAGGAACTAACAGCAGGCAGGTTTTTTATCTAAAGACATTTGTGCGTTCAGGATCTGAAGGAGTTGATAGTTTCCTAACTCTGCTGCTTCCAGGAAAATGTGAACTAAACCTTCTCCACATTTGTGATGAACCATTCAGGGAAATGTCCCTGGCGTCTTCCGTGCTGAATCCTTTCCAGAGCCTGTATGAGTTTTTCAATCAGTCAAGCCATCATTCTATGAAAGTCATGCTGCCGGTGCATTCTTTTGAATTGAACTTGGAATAGGAGCAAAATCAGTCTCAGTGAAGAAGTGGAGTTGATTTTATTTCAGGTGCAAAGGCGATGCAAGTGCTGTTTATCGCCCTCATTGTCAGGCCTTGAAGGTGAGATCTACGGGAGTGCTGGCCACAAGAAGCCGTACTGAAACCCACCAAGGCTTCTGTATGAATGTGCCCCGAGGTCTTGCTTTGGATGTTCCTTTCTCTGATCTATGGGGAACATGGCCCTTTCTCCCATGGCAACCTCCAGGCTTCAGAATGCCCCTCTTGGCCAGCGGGAACAGACACTTCCCTGTTATGTTTCCAGCATTAAAATGCAAATTCCAGTTTGCTTGAGCTTTTTTGGCAACTCTTGGCCCTCATTTGTGTATGCACATTAACCTTGGCTGATAGATCAGGTTCTTGTTCTCATGTGTTGTGCAATTTAATTTTCATAAATATTAATCACGTTGATGGACGGGTTTTTTGCAGAAAGACAGAATAAGGCTTTTAAGTCTGTGCTCGATTGTCTGTACGCAAGGAGGTCAGTCTGTTGGAGGAAACTTAAAGAGGGCAGGGAAGAAAGCATCTTGTGTCAAGTTGGATTGAAAAACCCTAGCCCGTTTCTCCGGTTTCCTTGGAGACAAGATGCTCTTTGGCTGCTTTGGCCTCCCAGCTTGCAGTTCCTGGGGAACTGAATAATGCCCGGCCTCTGGAATGGCACAAAACCAGAGGCTGCCCGTGAGGCAGAGCGAGGCACACAGGGCTGCGGAGCTGCATGCCAAGCCTCCCCTGCTGCTGGACTCCTGCAGCTGGACATTCACAAACAGCAAGTGTATATGAACCTGAGTCCCTGCAAGCCAGTACTGTTTCTTCTGAATATATCATTACGAATGAAGGAAATCTCTTGTGAAGGAAACCTGTTGTTCCCTTGGGCTCTTCCTGCCAGGAAGAAAAGCTAAGCCCAATGAGAAACTTCCATCCTGGGTTCCTTTAGCATTATGGTTTGACTGGGTTTCCTATCTTGTGCCTTGATCCAGCATCTCCCTCTTCATCCTAGAAATCATTCTCTCAGCTAAAACCATCCTTTCAGGTCCAGAGATCACGTTTGCTTGGCACATGGGCACAGAGTGTATTTTGTGTCCATGTTGTCTATGATTCCCAAGCACCTGTTCCCTTCCAGCGCTTCTGTTTGCTCTTCTTGTGATGCGATAACTGACCCTGATGAGATTGCGAGGCTGTTACTGGGATACTTTGGAGAGCCATCACTTGATGAGGCCGGAACAAATACAGGTAATGTTTTTAAGTAGGATTGGCTCCATAGTCCATGGAGAGGCGGTGTTGTTTATCCTCTCGGTTGGGCAGGTTTTGTGGCAGAGGTGACTTTGGGGGAGAGGTGAATTGCTGATGGGGCACGATATATTGCTATAGCTTTCACCTTCAGGCTGTCCCAGTTGTCCCTATCATTTTGTGTTGGCAGAGGTCCGCTTTTGGAACCGAATTCTTCTTGCATGCTGATGTGTGCGGTTTTTCCATCCTCATAGCCACCCCCACCTGAAGCCTTCATTTTTGCTGCATGAAGTTGGCTGCACCCTGAACACATAGAACAATCAAATTGGAAGAGACCACTGAAGGCATCCAGTTCAACCCTCTTCTGCCATGCAGGAACACACAACCAAAGCACTCCTGACAGAGAGCCACGCAGTGGCACTTCCACAGGCCTAGACACAGTCTTTGCTATCCCAAAGTGTGAAAACATACTTGGCCAAAATATTGATTTTTCTTTTTCAAATGAATCTTTGGCCATTTCTGGTTTGTCCTCACTATCTTCTCAGTATTTCCGGATGTGGTGATCAATAGTGTAGAAGCCAGGCCCCGGGAAGAGCTGCAGGGGGAGCTGGAGATGTTTAGCTCGGGGAAGAGAAGGCTGTGGAAAAGAGACGCGAGAACCGCGTGTCAGTATTTGGAAGGAGGTCCCACTGAGGAGGAAGCTGCTCTGGAGATAGAACTCAATGGAGGCATGGATTAAATGGCAGGAAGAAAAAGGTTCCACCTAAATACTAGGAAGAACATCTTAACTGTAAGCAACAGAATCTGGTCCTTCCTTCTCTGGAGGTTTCTAAGCAGAGGCAGGATGGCCTTCTGTTAGGAGGGCTTGGATTGTATATTTACTGCATGGCAGAAAGGGGGTGGACTGGATGGCCCTGGGAGCCTCTTCCAACTCTGTGAGTCTGTCCTGTGAGGAAGGCACCTGGCCAGTGTTGCCTGGCAGCCGTCATGCTGTATTCTTCCATGGCACTTGATTCAAGAAGGAAAAGCCAGCAGAACTGGTAATTAATGCTACTTTCAGAAATGCTACTGTCAACATCCTCGACTTCAAAATATGTTTGTGTTTCTGACAAACATCTTTGGAAAATATATAAACGTTATGATGGCAGAAAGTCAAGGCAGGCAGGCCGTCTACACTAGGGCAACTGACATGGACAGCACTTGCTTTGAAATTTAATAACTTTGTACTTTTCCTGACTTTACTAATTCAATAACTTGAACTGCGGAGGGAGAAGCAGTGCTGAATGCTGAAGGCTAGAATCGGACTATTCCTGGGAAGGAAGGAACGACGGAAGGAAGGAAGGTATCCTGAAGTGACACAGACTGAGTGGGACTCAGCCAAGCC